ATATGATTTGTTGAATGTAAAACTGATGATATGCCCTGTAAACTTTCACTCAATCCACAATAAAAACCATAAATAAATAAATAGAGTAGTTAATCTTGCAGTCCAGAAGCAGAGGACCCTAGGACCATCAATGGAGAAGAGCACAAGCAGACTGTAGGACCTTATCCAGAGAAGCAGTGACACCAGAGATGGAGGCAGAGATGGGGACATGGAGAGAAGGAGCAGCTGAGGACTCTAGAGTCATGGAAAGAGAGGGACTGAGAGCTGACAGCCAGGAGGCAGGCTTGAAGAGTGTGCCCTTTGGTGATTTAAATTATTTTTTATGCCTGAATGTTTAAAAAAAAAAAAAAAGAGCTAAAATGAATAGAGAGAAATACTATTAACTGGAGGGGATCATAATCATTGTGATGAAACAAAGTATATGATTTGTTGAATGTAAAACTGATGATCTGCCCTGTAAACTTTTACTCAGTTCACAATAAAAACTTTAAAAAAAAATTTTTTTTTTTAAACAAAACCCTAAGGTATTAAATTGTTTAAGAACCTTTATTCAGATAATTATAGGTGATTTTCACAAACAAGCCAATATAATGTTTAATTGAGAATTCTAATTCACTTCAATTTTACTAGGTACTCTTTGGACATCTGGAACCAGGTTTGGTCTTCACACAAAACCTAAGATGCCTCCATGTGACTTCATACCTGAAAAGTACAAGGTAAGATGCAGGGCTTCAGGAAATCCCAAAAGAGGTTGTTTGTCTTGAGCAGTCTCACTGAATTTTTTCCTCATGAAGGACCATAACATGGCCCTGCTTGTCACCAAGTGGTCCCATCACAGATACTCTAAAATCTCCTTCCTTTTAGGCACTAGGAACATTTGATCCCCTCTTACTCCATTTAAAGGAGCTCTGGCAGTACGGTGGTAACGAATCAGACTACTATCCTCAAGGTTGGCAGAACGAAACGACCAGCTGTTCCACAGGAGAAAGATGAGGCTTAGCATCAGTGCTTAAATTGGTGTGTGCTATGTGTATGCATGTGTGTGGCAGAGGCAGACAAATAGTACAAGGAGATTATACTTTACAATTTTGATTGATTCATAAGGCAATGTTTGATCTGGCTTTCCTGAGTTCTCCACCAATAGAGTTAGCCTCTCTCTCTTTCTCTGTCTCTGTCAGCAACCCCTTTACCATGAGCATTGTGTTTGTTGTTAGGTGCCGTCAAGTCGGTTCCTACTCGTAGTGACACTATGCACAACAGAAGGAAGCACTGCCTTGTGCTGTCCTCACACATGTTATACTTGAGTACACTGCTTCTGCCACAATGTTAATCAATGTCTTTTTTGCTGACCCTCCACTTTACCAAGCATAATGTCCGTCTCCAGGAACTGGTCCCTCCTGGTAATGTGCCTAAAGTAGGAGAGACGAATCATCCTTGCTTCTAAAGAGTATTTTGGCTGTCCTTCTTCCAAAACAGATTTGTCTGTTCTTCTGGCAGTCCATGATACTTTCAATATTCTTCTCCAACACCATAACTTAAATGCATCTATGTTCTTCCTTATTCATTGTCCAAATTTCACATACATATGAAGCAATTAAAAATACCATGGCTTGGGTCGGGTGTACCTTAGTACACAAACTGATATCTTTGCTCTTCATCATACATAATATTTGTTGTTGTTGTTGTTATTGTTAAGTGCCATCAAGTTAGTTCTGACCCATTGTGACGCTGTATAGAGTTTCCAAGGAGTGGGTGGTGAGCTTAAACCACCAACCTGTGATTCAAACCCACTTTGTAGTCCAGCACAAAAATTGTAGCATCAGTAGATAGGTCATGAGGGAGCCCTAATGAAGAGAAGCATGAGAAGGATGCTGATAATTAAAGCTACAAACACCACACTTCAATTTGATTTTAATTTAAAAAAAAAAAAAACTATAGGAGAAAAAGGTTCTATTGTTTCAGATATTCTCCTTTCAAAGCCCATTTTCTTTTCATTGATATAGTCAAACCCAAAGCCAAGGAGAGATCTTCATTGAGAAGAAGAAAACTTCAGGCTTTCTTCATGGTTCTCCTAAAAATGGATTGAAGCTCCATGAAAAATAATTGTACTACTTAAAGAGAAGGGCCTTAGTGTGCTGCAAGAAGAATATAGTATAAATGCATTCACTTCAGAGTCATTATAGGGCAGCTCCTTTCAGTTTAGCTCAGTAGACCCACTGTCATGGGGTCTATCGCAATTTATGGTGACCATAGAGAACAGGAGGACAAGAGGAAGACCCCCAATGAGATGGACTGGCCAAGTGACAGCATCGATGGACTCAACCATGGCAACAATAGTGAGGTTGGCCCAGGACCGGGCAGTGTTTCATTTTGCTGTGCATAAGGTCACTATGGGTCGGTACCGACTCGATGGCAACTAACAACAACAACAACATAGAGAACAGGGAGTCCTGGTGTGGCACTGTGGGTTAATGAGCCAGACTACAAAGTCATTTGAACTGCAGGGTCAGCAGTTCAAGCTCAGCAGATGCTCCTAGGAAACCCTATACAGGGTCGTTATGGGTCAGAACTGACTCGACAGCACTTAACAGCAACAACAACAATCAAAACATAGACAACAAAGTAGAACGCTCCCACAAGGTTTCCAAGGCTGTAATTTTTATAAAAGCAGACTGTCGAATCGTTCTCCTGTGGAATAGCTCGTGGGTTCAAACTACTGACCTTTCAATTAGCAGCCAAGCATTTAACGACTGCTCCACCAGGGTTCCTTCAGTTCAGGAGAGAGGGGAAAAAAGGTTATTGTTGAGTCTACTTTTACTCATTGCAACTCACATGATTCAGAGTAGATCTATTCCCCATAGAGTTGTCAATGGCCATGACCTTCCAGACAGACTAGACTATTAAACACTAAGTCAGTGGTTCAAACCCACCAGCTGCTCCTCAGAAATCCTATACAGGGTCACTATGAGTCAGAACTGACTCGACGGCGCTTAACAACAATAACAACAACATGACCTTTCAGAAGTAGAGAGACTGTTGATGCCAAGGAGCAACTGGTGGGCTTGAACTGCTGACCTTGCAGTTAACAGTCCATTGTTTATCCTGCAGCACCTTACCAGGATCTTGCAAGAAATGCAAAGATAAGGAAAAGAAATATTTTAACTTTTGTCTATCTACAGACCCTTGCATATAATCGTGTTCTGGAGATCCACAAGCAAAATCTCTCTCCAGTGTCAGCGGAGTACTTTCAGAAGCCCCTATTGCTCCATCAAGGACACATGGAGTGGCTATTTGATGCTGAGGGAAACAGATACCTCGATTTCTTTTCAGGGATTGTCACTGTCAGTGTTGGTCACTGCCACCCGTGAGTATCATTAAAAGATGGGGTGTTCTATCCTGAGGAATATTTGAAAACCAAGTTCATAATCATCTTTATCATTCAGAACCCATGGTTCAATCAACTAGTTGCCATCAACTTGGTCCTTATTCATGACAACCCTACTTTATGTCAGAACAGAACCATGCTTCGGAAGGTTTTAAGTGGCAAATTTTTCAAAATTGGGTCTGAAAAGTAGGTGCCTCTGAGTGAATTCAAACCTCTAACCGCTTGGTTAGTGGCCAGGCAAGTTAGTGATTTGCACCACCTGGGAACTCATTTTCACTTACTCTGGTTAAAAAAAAAAAAAAAATGTTTAACTCTTAACTGATTATGAGTAATGTATGCCATGCTGTTTGCTGAGCAAAAGTCTTAGCATTGTACTCTTTCTTTTCTAGATAATTCCAGGTTCTATAATTATCATTACACGTGCAGTGTGGTATGTATTGTGTGCCTGGAGTTTTGCTGTGTGCATGTTTGTCCTCTCTAGAAAAATCTTTACAAAGAAATGGGCTTTACTGAGAAAAAGGTAGAGATAAAAGTAAAGGCAGGTATATGGGGTGAAAAATGAGAATTTATAGCCTGGGGATTATCTTAAGTAACTCTCAGCAATAGATGAGGAAAAAAAGGATAATACAACGAAGACATCATATAAATTGACATGATAAACATATGAATTAACTAATCTTGAGATTCTCTGCAACCTTGAATACCAAATCACCCACGCGTAAGTACTCTGGTAGGTTCTTCTTTGATCCTTTCAGGTGGGGTGGTAGGTATCTCACTTTACAGAAAAAGACGTTTAACCATTTCAAGAGGCACCATATGATCATGAACCGGTCATAGAGAAGTAAGAAGTCCATGCTGCATTGAAGGCATTAGCAAAAAACAAGACTCCAGGAGTTGATGAAATACACATTGAAATTTTTCAACTAACCGATTCAGTACTATAGGCACTCACTTGAGTGCCAAGAAAATGCCAAGAAATTTGAAAGACAGTAAGCTGGCCAACCGCTTGGAAGAGATCCATACTTGTGACCCTTCCAAATAAAGGTTACCCAACAGAATGTGGAAATCATCAAACAATATCATTAATATCAAATGTAAGTAAAATTTTGCTGAAGATACTTTAAAAATGATTGTAGCCAGAAATTCAAGCCAATTCAGAAGAGGACTTAGAATGAGGGATATAATTAGTTATATAAGATGGATCTTGACTAAAAGCAGAAAGAGATGTCTACTTGTGCTTTAGTGACTATCAAAGGCATTCTAATATGTGGATCATGACAAACTCTGGAAAGCATTGAGAAGACTGGATATTCCAGAACACTTAATTGGGATTATTAGGAACCTTTACATAGACCAGGAGACAGCTGTTAGAACAGAACAAGGATATATTGAATGGTTTAAAATCAGGAAAGTGTGCTCCAGGGTTATAATATTTCACCATTTTTATTCCAACTGTATGCTGAGAAAATAATCCAAGAAGATAGATTATATGAAGAAAAATGTGGCGTCAGGATTGGAGGAAGAATTATCAGTCTACAATATGCAGATTTGCTTACACCTTGCTGCTGGAAGCAAAAGATACTTGAAATATTTACTGATTAAGATTGAAGACTACATCCTTCAGTACAAATTTCACCTCAATATAAAGAAAACAAAATCTAGACCATTACATAGCATCATGATAAATGGAGAAGAGACAGATGTTATCAAAGACTTTACTTTGCTTGGATCCACAATCAACACACATAGAAGCAGCTGTCAAGAAATCAAGTGGCATAGTCCATTGGGCAAATCTGCTGCACAAGGCCTCTATAAATTGTTCAAGAACAAAGCTGTCACTTTGAGGACTAAGGTGAGCCTAACCCAAGCCATGGTATTTTCAATCACCTCATATGCATGTGAGAGTTGGACAGTGAATAAGGAAGACCAAAGAAAAATTGATGCATTTAAACTCTGTTGTTGGTAAAGAATATTAGAAGTACCATGAACTGCCAGAAGAAGAAACAAATTTGTCTTGGAAGAAGTACAACCAGAGTGCTTCTTAAAAGTAAGGATGACATGAAGCAAACCTTAATGGAATTGAAGAAAGGAATAGATAAATCCACAATTATAGTGGGAGATTTCAACACACTACTCTTGAAAATGGATAGAACAACCAGAAAGAAACTCGACAATGCTACAGAGGAACTTAACAACACAGTCAACCAACTTGACCTCATAGATGTATACAGAGCATTTTATCCAACAATGGCACAATACACATTCTTCTCCAGTGCACATGGAACATTTTCCAGAATGGACCACGTGTTAGGTCACAAAGCAAGCCTCCATAAATTCACAACCATCAAAATTCTACAGAGCATCTTCTCAGACCACAATGCCATAAAACTAGAAATCAACAATAAGAAGGCCAAATCAATAAAATCGAAGTCATGGAAACTGAACAACACCCTGCTGAAAAGCGACTGGGTAAAAGAAGAAATTAAACGTGAATTCACAAACTTTCTGGAAACAAACAAGAATGAAAACACAGCATATCAAAATCTTTGGGACACGGCGACAGCAGTCCTGAGAGCACAATTTATTGCGATAAATGCACACATCCAAAAAGAGGAAAGAGCCAAAATCAACACATTAACACAGCATCTTCAACAATTAGAAGCAGACCAACTGAGGGAACCTACAGTCTCCAAAAGAAAGGAAATAATAAGGATAAGAGCAGAAATAAATGAGATGGAAAACCAAAAAACTATAGAAAGAATCAACAAGACAAGAAGCTGGTTCTTTGAAAGGATTAATAAAATTGACAAACCATTGGCAAAACTAACTAAAGAAAAGAGGGAGAGGACACAAATAAATTGCATTAGAAACCACACAGGGGAAGTCACAACAGAACCAAACAAAATCGAAAAGATAATAAGAGAATACTACGAAGAGCTGTACTCCAACAAATTTGAAAATTAGGACAAGATGGAAACATTTCTAGAAAAAACACGACCTACCTAAACTTACTCGGACTGAAGTAGAAAATTTGAACAAACCCATAACAAAAGAAGAAATTGACCAGGTCATCAAAAAACTCCTGACCAACAAAAGCCCAGGCCCAGATGGCTTTACAGCTGAGTTCTACCAAACATTCAGAGAAGAACTGTCACCAATTATTCCAGAACACAGAAGAAGATGGAGAATTCCCTAATACTTTCTATGAAGCAAGCATAACCCTCATACCAAAACCAGGGAAGGACATCATTAAGAAAGAAAATTACACACCAATATCCCTCATGAACATAAACACAAAAATCCTCAACAAAATCCTAGCCAACAGAATCCAACAGGTACATCAAAAAAAAATAATACATCATGACCAAGTCGGTTTCATAAAAGGGATGCAAGGATGGTTCAAAATTAGAAAAACTATCAACGTCATCCACCATATAAATAAGAAAAAAGAAAAGAATCACATGATCATATAGATTGATGTAGAAAAGGCATTTGACAAAATCCAACATCCATTCCTGATAAAA